TCTCTGTCATGAGTTTTTAGGAGGATGCAGATGCACCACTATAAAGGAAACAGGTGTGCCTAACTTGTAAAACAAGAGCTTTGTAGCAAAAAGGAGTGTGGAAAAGTAATTTTTTCTTCCAGATTATTATTATTATTATTATTATTATTATTATTATTATTATTATTATTATTATTATTATTATTATTTTCATCATTGCGACGAATCAAAATAATAACATTTGCATCTTTGACACGTCCATATTGCCTCTGTACTCAATCAGATAAAGCTACTGCCTCGTTCACGGGGTCGCTACAGTGGGTAGTTCTGGTTGATTTTTTTTTTTTCTTTCTTTCAGCCCCTTCAGCTCCTAAAGATGTGCTGGAGGCTCTCGAGCAGAGACGAGCCAAGTACACGGAGGCGTCTGCACAGGCCAAGGCCAGCGGAGACGACCGCAAGGCCCGAATGCACGACCGTATTGCCAAGGTAACAGGAGAAACTTCTGAAGTCTGTCCTTACAGTCAGAGTGCTCTGTTACTAAAGCTTTGTCACATTCGTCCTCTCTGACATAGACACAGCGTTTTATTTTTCATGCAGTCTTGGGTCGTTTCCACACATGAACTGCACACTTTGAACAGAATCAGAACGGGATTTGTTCCACAATTATTCTTCTTCACATCGAGCATAGAGCAAGACTTGGATTACTTGAAGTATTGTTTGTTTGTAGATGAGGCGAATGCCTGAAAAGAAAGCACTGGAGGCAGCATACTAAGCTAATTAAGCTAATTACAAAGCGATTTATATGTGATCCAGCTGCGAAGGACATTTGTGTTCTTACGTGCTCCTCTGTCGGGTAAAAAGTTCTGGAAATGTTCAGGATTGTACTGGATGAGTGAAAACGGGTCCGCTCCAAAATGTGAGACAGACCATCCTCTTTCCCTTTTTTGTTGAAGCTTGGATTTGTTTGTGTCTAAGACTTTAAAATCTCGAATAATTGTGTGGGTATGAGTAAATAAAACGAGGCAATAAATTAAAGTGACAGACATAATAATAAAGGCATAGACTCCCAGCACTTAGCATCGGCAAACTTCTATGTTTACCCCCCGATGAGAGGATTGGCTCTGCTGCTAACATATTTTTAAACTCCCGCCTCCTGCAGCAATACCAGAGCGCCATCCGAGCTCACAAAGCAGGAAAAGCAGTCAACTTTGACGAGCTGCCGGTTCCCCCTGGTGAGATACATGTTTTTTATTTTTCCAAGTGAAATTTAACTCTATAAAGCCCAATTATGTTTATGTGCTCAGTTCTGTAGTGCAGGATTACTTTGTATACTTTTATTATTGCTGCAGCACAAATACATGGACATTTCTTTTTTCTGCTAAGCTGAAAAGGTCAGTGAACACCTTTTCTTACAGGCTTTCCTCCGATCCCTGGCCAGAAGGCAGTGGGAGCTGAGCAGGGGATTGTTGCTGCTCTGGAGGCAGCTAATAAGCTTGCCTCTAGTGATGCTGCTGAAGTTGCAGATGAGGAAGAGGATGAGGCAAAGGAAGAATTGGTAGGATCACAGAATTACAAGGTAATTAAATATTTGGTTCCTGTGGAAAAATTGACTGTAGTGTTTTGTCTGTGTAGGCAAAGCCTGCTGCTCCTGAAGAGCCAAAGAAGCCCACTTTAGACATTCCCACAGCAGGTCACGAACAGAAGAGGACTCCGTCAGCTTCACCTGACAGGACAACCATCGGAGAAGGACTCTCACAAACAGGTAAGACACAAGAGTTTAAGTCTGAAGGATATAAGACATCCTCTGAAAACCCAGAGACTCCTTTGGCTCCTGAGAAACTCTTTAACAGAACATCCTCTCAACTCGTACTGAAAAAGTTTTAGACGAGGTAGATGGAGAGAAGTACTGACTGACTGAAGAACCTAGGGGCTCATTACAGATCTATAAACTACTTCGCTTTGTGTCTGTTCTGTCTTCATTTTCCAGCTGTTCAGCAGCTGGAGTTCTTGGAGGGTCGAAAGAAGCAATACATGAAGGCTGCGCTGCAGGCGAAGCAGAAAAATGATATGGAGCAGGCAAAGATTTTTCTCCGCACCGCCAAGAGCTTCGAGCCCATGATCGAGGCGGCACGCAGCGGCAAAACTGTGGACATCAGCACGGTGAGCAGACAGTGGATCTACGCTTCATATCTGGATTAACCAAAACCTGCTTACAGTTAAAAATAGGCTTCATTCAGGTTGTAGATTACAAGGTCTGAGAACAGGTTCAGAAAAACCAAAAGGTTTTTTCACGTGCACCTCTAGAACATCTTTAATGTTTGCTGGTTTTAAATCTGTCAGCAGAAGTCCTGTTGTCTGTCCTTCTGTGATAATTGCTGCACCTGCTCCAGCGTGCCAAAACCAAGATCATTCAGTTTGGTTCTCTGAACCACCACAGAGTTAATTACTGCTCTTTAGAAGCTAGTCACAGAAAGTCCACTCAGTTTTTCTGTTTATGTGGGCTGGAATCGTTCAACTGTGTTTTCATTTTGGAGCCGTAGAAGATGTTGCAGGGAGGCAAATTTGATAAAAAGGGCAGGTGGTCAGGAAATACTGCGTTGGCATCTGGTGATGCTGTGCTGGCTTTCACCTCAGTCCAGATGTTTCTGCCTAATACCCTCCCTTAGACACCGCAGGATGTTGCTTGTGTGGACAGTCTCACACTGGGGCACCATTCCTCAGTGCAAAACCTGATCAATGTTGATAAGTTGGAGAAAGAACTGAAGAGCATGTTTCCTGTCTTGCTCTTCATCTTCAGTGCTGCCTTTGCTATTAAAAAACCTGACTTCCAGGAAAAGATCTAAAAACGGCAGCTGTGATGAAAATGGTCCTTAGGTGCTCAGTAAGATCAGCCTGATTCAGATTATTTTTTGAGAAACACAATTTAAAGTTAGATAAAATGACTAAGTGAGAAAGTTAGTTCTGAATGTGCCTTGATGGAGTTACGTTGATGTTTGTTGTTGAAATTTCATTGTGTTTTATGTAAGAATTAGGTTGAAGCTGCAAAACACAAGACAACAATTTGTTTTTAAAAACTTGCATGTTATATGACAGGCTTTAGAAGGCTTTAGATATTTAAATATGACTCCCAAAACAAGTTTTTGGCCAGTGCAGTTAAATTATACGCACGCACAGGAGAGTAGAGGGTTATCAGCAGTTTGTTTAAATGATCCGATTTAAGATAAAATAAGAAATGTTATTTATCACTAAAGTTTGGAAAATTTGTCTGTGAAGGTTCTCAGTCATCCACTTCATTGTAGACTAAGGAGCTTGGAAAGAAAAGTGTCTTGACTTCTTTAAATTCCTTGAAGACGTTTCACCTCTCATCCGAGAAGCTTCTTCAGTTCTAAGAGCAACTGGTGGAGAGTCCCAGATTTTAAGCTTGGCTCGTGTGATTAGGTAGAGGATCAATAGGGGATCCATGACCCTCTTGGGGGACATTCCCATAGGGCTTAAAATCTCGGACTCTCCACCAGTTACTCTTAGAACTGAAGAAGCTTCTCGGATGAGAGGTGAAACGTCTTCAAGGAATTTAAAGAAGTCAAGACGCTTTTCTTTCCAAGTTCCTTTGGAAAATTTGGTGTTACAGCAATTATAAACACAACTAATAACAAACTAAAGCAATAATAATAAAGTAAAACAGAAAAAAAATAGCTCAAGAGCTCAAATAAACAAAAATAAAGTAGGTCAATAAACAAATATATAAACCAAATAAAAAAACAAGGCTATCAAGTGATGCTAAACATGCTGATAAAAAAATATCTCAGTGAAATATAGAGAGAATAAAAGAATTAATTTTATTTAAAAGATGGCCTACTAAATAAAATGTGGCAAAAAAAACAAACAAAGAAAGGAAATGTCGGGTGACATTAATGTGTCTCTGCACACATGTGGTGTAAAGTGTTATGAACAGTGTATGGTTGAAATTAAGCTGCTGAGATGAGACTATAGAGAAATCTCACCCACACTGATGTGTTGTGTTGAGTGTCTGCAACACAGGCTAAAAATGCTCTCTCTCTCTCTCTCTGCCTGCAGGTGCCGTCGCCTCCTGGTGACGAAGACGAAGACTTCATCCTGGTTCACCACAGCGACGTGCAGATCTCAGAGAAAGCCGAGGAAGTTTACACGCAGCTGGCCAAGATCCTGAAAGAGCAGCACGAGGTAAAACCGCAGCAGAGTCTTTATAAAAAGTTCTTTTTTGAAATTTAACAGAATTCGATTTTTCTTTGGCCAAATTCTACAGATTATTTGTGATTTTAAATAAATGTGTTTATGCCTTTAAACTATTAACAAGATTTCCCCTCAGAAGAAACTTTTCAGCTCTCTGATGTTTGTTCATGAATAATTTCTGCTGCCAGAAACAGATTTTCTGCCTCTGATTTCTCCAAACTGTGACCCTCTTCCTATAAGGAGGAGAATGTTAAGGTGTTAAGATTTCTCCTGGCTTTCTTCCTTCATTTAGAAATGTTTAACTTACTCCGAGCAGTTCAAACACCTGGGAAACGTCACTGAAACAACAAAGTAAGCTTCCTCGTCACCTACAGAGATTTACATTTAAACTCTAAATTAATTGTTGAATGGTTGATGACATGAAACATGAAAAGGTTTCATTCCTTTTTTTTCATGTTTTTTTTAGGTTTGAGAAAATGGCTGAAAGCTGTAAGAAGAGTATGGAAGTCTTGAAGTTGGCTCAGTCGAGGGGTCTGCCTCCTCCTAAACATCATTTCGAGGAGAAGTCATTTCGCATAGCCAAGTGGGAACATTTGCCATCAATTCTTTACTCCTGCTGAGTTATTCATTAGTTATAAAGTTAGCAAATAATCTGCTTTCACTTATTTTAATAGATGGTTTATATATTAAAGGGGCAGTAAATAATTTCATACATGCCTTCATCTTTTGCTTGCACTAAACAAATTTTTAGAGAAAAGCAGTTTTCTATATGTTTCTAAAAGTGTATACAACATAATTTCGCTGAGTGACTGGTGCAGTTTTCTTAGTGTTTACACTTGAAGCAGATACAATAAATCACTCAACTTTCTTCCTGCTTTTTTTCCTGTTGTTGGTTTCAGGATATTTCCAGAGCTGAGCAGCACTGACATGGTTGTTATTATCGTAAAAGGGATGAATCTTCCTGCTCCTAGCGGTAAAAATCTGCATTTATCAGTTTTTCCTGTTTTTTGTTTTTCCCCCCAAGGACGTGTTTATTCAGAATTTAAAAATATTCATATCAGCAATAAAACAGGAGGATGAACAGGGATAAACGGGGAATTCAACTCATAGAACAAACCAGTGATCTTGAATCAGTTACTCAGACTGATTTTCCATAAATCGAGTCGAAGGTCACACCTCAAAGTGGGTAAAACAAAAGTTTCATGCTTTTTGCTTTTCTTCCTCCTGCAGGAATCCAAGCAAACGATCTGGATGCTTACGTCAAGTTTGAGTTCCCCTATCCAAGCACGGTAAGAGCCTGAAAATCCGCCTTTTTAAAAATTAACACCAGTGAGTGTTTTTGCTTAAGTTTCATCTGCTGTTTTGCTGCCACCAGGAGCAGCCACAGAAACTCAAAACAGCTGTCATCAAGAACACGAACTCCCCAGGTGAGACATGACTCTTGCTTCAGGTGTGCTTTAGTTGTGGGATTTTCTTTTCTAGTTCCAGGGTGTATAAATGTTTCTTTTTCTTTTTCTTTCTTTTTTTAAGGACACAAGCATTTTTGCTGTTCAAAACAAACCGAGCCTTATTTTAGGTTCATTTTCATGCGAGATCATTTTGGTTTTAAAGTTGTGGTACTTTTTAAAAACTCTCTTAAGGAGTTGGGTAGAATTCCCTAATATTTCCATGTTGGCTTTATTTGTTGTCCTCTAAACTGCTTCATTTAGCTGAGCGATGTTGACTTCTTTGTTGTCTCTTTTTGTCAGAATACAACCAGAGTTTCAAGCTTCAAATCAGCCGCAACCATCGCGGCTTCAGGAGGGTGGTGACGGCTAAAGGCCTCAAGCTAGAGCTGCTGCACAAAGGGTGAGTCCCAGGAGCTGCTGGTCGGACAGCATGCGACACGTAGTGAGTATTTAAAATGTGCTGTGAGAACTTTTCGAGCAGCTGCTGGCTATTTAGTCATTAGCATGTTACAACAATGGGACTTTGACACAAGAAGGGCTGTAATTGTACCTGTTTATTTCAGATAAATGTGAGAAATTAGTCAAATCAGTCGTGCTAGTGGGTGTTTACTGTGAGGGATTACTGGTGATGTTTCAATATGCTGCAAAAAAGAAGATCTGAAAGTGGAAACGCATAATAACCAGAATCTCTGATGGGAGTCTTCAGGTTTAGTTTCTTATCACAGTGTAATTATATAAATGTGTCAGCTGGCTCTGCTGGTGTTTGCTGTGTGGGCTTAAGATCAGGGTAGTTTTTAGAAGGAAGAAGTGCAGATTAATAGAGAGAATAAAAATGACACACATGCTGAATGAGCAGATGTTCAGAAACCAGATGATCCTACATGTTAAAAGATGTCTTGTTTATTTTGGCATCACAGTTTTTCTATAGAGAGGTTTTCTATTTCAGTGGATGTTGAATGGGTTGCCAATGACTTGGTAGATGTTTAGAGGTTAAACCTTGATTTTTCTTATTTCACACACGCTGTCCTTAGCTGTGGCTCATCAGTGTAACCGTGTCTGTCGTCTCACAGCGGTTTCTTACGGAGCGACAAGCCGATCGGAACAGCCCTGCTGAAGCTGGACAAGCTGGAGTCACACAGTGAAATCAGGGAGATTGTCGAGGTGAATGACATTCAGTTTGAAAGGATAAGGAGATTGATCTGTGGTGTTTAAGTTAATTCGTTAAGACAGAAATCAGGAGGCCGTTTGTCTGAGAGGGTTAAGATGTGATCACGGTGTTTCGTGTGCCAGGTGATGGACGGACGGAAACCCACAGGGGGTCGCATTGAAGTGAAGGTCAGACTGCGGGAGCCTCTTAGCGGTCAGGACATGCAGACCAGCACGGAGCGCTGGCTGGTGATCGACCAGTCGCAGGTAACATATAAAGATATGAAAAAGCTCGGTAATTAGAATATGATCAACCCTCAATGACTTCAGCTTTACTTAGAATGGCTTTCTTTAATTTGCTTGCTTTTATAGTTTATTTGCCTTTTTTCTGCTTGTTTAGTTAATTTTACTAATTTGTTGTTAAGGGTTTTTTTTTGTTTTGTTTCATATGTTATAAAATTACGGACACACAAGGTTATGTTGGTAGCCAGGTGTGTGTGGTTTTGTAAAATGTTCTCAGAGCTTTACCTGTCCTTTCTTTTTTGGTAGGTTCTTGTTTAGATGTTACTGCAAGACTGAAGATGAAGTGCAAGAAGAAGGTAATTATACGGTTTACATTCACAATCATAGCTAGAAGATGAGCCTGCCATCACAATGTAGGTGAAGAGACTTTTTAGATGCTTTGATTTCTTTTGGTCACCTGTCCCAGATGGATGCCTTAAAATGTGCAACACACTTTTTCAGGTTTGATCCAGTGAATTAGAAGGAAAAAGATCCAACATCCAGAGTACCAATGTTTCTCAGACATTAGGTTGTATAGTTTTGCTGCTGAAATTATGATATATCCTATAATATTGTTGCTCAATGCTACTAATGGGGGGGGGGAACAAAAAAAGCTAAATTGGCAACCCCTCAGCCTCAAAGTAGACACAGCCATCGGATCAGTCCCAGAATCCTACATTACATTGAATTATTGCGTTTACAAGATTTTCAGAACACTTGACCTCCAATCTTGACTTTGAGCTCAAGGTCACCAGGATTCAAACTCATCCAAGATTTTTAGGTTATTGCTAGAAAAGTTCATGTCTGCAGTGCATCTACGTTTAATTCCTCCTTGACTGATACTGGTGATGTCTTTGCCCTGCAGATGTAAGGAACTCAATCAAAAACACTCAGAGGGAGAAGAGGAGGAGATGATGAAGGTGGTTTGGGAAGTTCTGAAGACGGTCTGTTGTTCAGTTTGGACTCAGACCTACACGGGTCTTGTAGTATCTTTTGCACATTTGCACGACACACACGCTCCCCTTCACTCAGCAGGAGACACGGAGCTGCCTTATGGAGACGTGAACCTCGTGTCTGCCTCCATCGGAAGGCGATGAGGGCCTCTCTTTGAGATTGAAAAACACTCAGGCAAAGATCACAGCTGCCTAAACTGTTTCCTGATGTGTGGGTCCGGCATGGTGTCCTTTGCGAGTGACAAAGGGGACCGGTGTCGAGTTAAGCTGATCCTGCTGCCTGACGTAACTTTTAGTTAATATATCAAAGAATGTGTAAATAGTCCTTGTGGTATCTAGAACTGCACCTATGCACTAATACCAAAGTAATCACAGTTGCTGTAAAATCCTGCGTATTTGAAAGCCGCCTTTAGCTGCCAAATCTGTTACGATATATACATTTAAATTATATAATTACAGCCTGGGCTGTCGGGAGTTTTCAGTACATTTTCCGCTCAGTTACAGTCTGTTACAGACTTCGGTGTGAAAACGTCAGGCAGATATTGCAGTAGCCACCTCATGTTTATTTAACAGGAAAGTAAGCCAAGAAATCACCAGATTACACAAGGTACGATCGTTATTTTAGAGACCACACATTTCGCATGCGCTGCAAGTCCTCTAATTGTGGTCACTAAACTGCACACTCACCTGCCTGCCGTTTTAGGTGCATTTGACTTGTTTACACTGAATAGCACAAAAACTGGAGACGAATAATGTCACGTGTGAGGAGGAGAGTACACAGGATCATCTTTAAAAAGCATCGTGTAAAGGAACAGAAAGAAAGAAAGATTTAAATGTCAGGAAACTCTAAGCTTAGCCTAGCTTTGCATAAAACTGGAAGGGGGCTGCAAATTGAATCCTGTTTAAAAATACAACTACTAGTTTT